TAATTTCAAATAAGCGAAAAGACGCTAAAACCCAAAGAAATTTAGGTTTCAACACAAAATCGGTGTAATGACTTTAACTAGCACATACATTTTTTCATCTTATAATAATAAAAGCTCAATGAGCTACGAACAGAATAAAGAGCGACTCAGCTCCGCGAGCCGAGGAGACGGTATGTCTCAACGCGTGATTGCGAAGTGCAAAAAACGACCCTACTGTCGGTCGATAGCCAAAGAGCACGATCTTGCCCACCATGCTTACTTACGGCTACCCGTACTCCGACGGCGTGGAGTCAACAATGCAAAACCCCCCCACCATCAGTTTTGACCCCTGGCGAACCAACAACACGCAACGGTAAAACTTCAGCAACAACTAAAGCTACGGCAAAAAAACCAACGACAACCACAGCTACGACTATTATTTCGGAATCGACTGCAACCGCAGCTCTAAATACAACGGCAACAAAAACCACGACAACAAATCAAAACCAAAACAAAATTCAGCAAGCAGGTCCGGCCATACAGACCGGACTAGATCGGTACATCCATATCAAGCGTAAGCTTAGCCCGCAGAACACCGCGGTAGGTAACAAGTCAAAAATAAACCGTGCCCAAGTAGAAGATATATTACCCGGGAGATCCGAAAGCAATCGATTTGCGCTTCTAGCAGAAAATGGATCAGGACGGTCACAAAAGGGGATATCCATGAAACCAAGCTTCAGACCAAATCTGAAGAACATTTCCGAGCAGTATCCAAATACCTGGAGGAAGCTAGGAAAAGCTACTACACGTACCAACTAAAAAGCAGCAAGGGCCTGCAAGTGGTAATAAAAGGAATCGAGCCCGACGTAACCGCCAAGGAAGTTATCGATGCTCTCAAGGAAAAAGGGTTTTCTGCAAATATAAACAGGAAAAAAGAGCCGCAACCACTCTTCAGGGTCGAGCTGGAGCCAGACAGCAGAGTCTTGAAGAAAAATGAAGTGCACCCCATTTTTAACCTGCAATATTTATTGCACCGAAGAATTAACGTGGAAGAGCCACATAAAAGGAACGGCCCAGTGCAATGCACAAATTGTCAGGAGTATGGACACACCAGGGCATACTGTTCGCTTCGAATAGTCTGTGTAGCTTGTGGAGACTTTCACAATTCGGCTAACTGCCCTGCCAACAAAGAAGACCCCAAAAAGAAAAAATGCGTTAACTGCCAAGGTAACCACACGGCAAACTACAGGGGCTGTCCGGTCTACAAGGAGATGAAGGACCGCATGCGAAAAGTGATAGCAACGCGTCATCAGAATACCCAACATGCTTACACTTACTCGCTTACGACGCCGGAAGTATTTTTCGGCACGGCTGCAAGATCCGCCTTTGGTCAACTAAATACCCAAAAGGGATTCTCATACGCCGATGCCATTCGATCGGGGACGGAAAACCCACTCCAGTCTAAGCTAGGAAACGCTCAGCAGATCCAAGAGCAGTCGCAAAGCACTCTGGAATCTATGATGGTCACCATGCAAAAAAGTATGATGGAATTCATGTCATTCATGAAAATGACCATGCGAACACTGGTTCAAAACCAGGACATGGTGTTACAGCTACTTGCAGCTAAGCAGTCCCAGTACTAGATGGCAAATCTACGAATAACAATGCGGAACGCCAATGGCGTTTCACGGCACAACCTTGAAGTAACACAGTTCCTGAATGATAATCATATCGACATTATGCTACTGGTAGAGACGCACCTCACAAACAAATACAACTTCCAAGTAAGAGGCTACACTTTCTCCCGCACAGACCCACGGCGGAACCGGCATCCTAATCAGGGAACGCATCAAGCACCACTCTCACCAAAGATATGCAACTAATTACTTGCAAGCCACGTCTATAAAAGTGCAGTCAGGCAACGGAAACCTCACCATAGCCGCTGTCTACTGTCCGCCTCGCTTTACAATTTCTGAAGAACAATTCATGGACTTCTACAACTTGCTTGGAGATCGCTTTATAATGCCAAACACACGCACTGGGGATCACGCCTTTTGACTCCCAAAGGAAGGAAATTATACAATGCAATCATAAAACCGAACAACAAATTAGACTATGTTTCCCCTAGCAGCCCCACATACTGGCCAACAGACCCCAGCAAAGTTCCAGACCTAATAGACTTTGCGGTGACAAAAAACATTCCCCACAATGTAATAAGTGCTAATAACTCTTCTTCAAAGCACAAAAACCAAAGATCACCCCCTCAGGCTGACGTCGCACAGAACCAACTGGTTAAAATATAAAAAGTATGTGAGCTCACACATCAAATTAACCCCTCACTTCAACATCGAAGCGGACATCGACTGCTTTACCGATGCTCTTGAAGAAGTATTCGTGGAGGCAGCCACTATCTCAACACCACAAGGCAGGGACGTGCAAACCAACCACTTCAAAACTAATCTGCAAATTGAACGGTTAGTCCTAGAAAAGAGGCGCCTGCGACGTGCCTGGCAAACCAACAGATCGCCGTCATCAAAACAACGTCTTAAGGAAGCCACTCGCTCACTAAATCGAGCTCTAAAGCAAGAAACAGAAAATGAACAGCTGCAGTACATTAAAAGACTATCGCCAACCAGTACAAAACATTCTCTGTGGAGGGCTCACCCAAATCTGAGCTTTCTAATCGAAACAGTCACTCCGATAAGAAACTCATCTGGCATCTGGGCCCGCAGCGACGAAGATAGAGCCGAGACTTTTGCTTTACATCTCAGAAACGTCTTCCAGCCGAACCCTGCTACTGGCTCATTTGTCCTACCATAAACCCTGGCGGTGACCAAATAACCCCAAAAATGTTAATTGAACTTCCAAACTCTGCCATTGAGGTTATTTGTAAGATCTTCAATGGGATCATAACTCTCGGCTACTATCCGAAAAAATGGAAAAAATCTATTATCATTATGATACCAAAGCCCGGAAAAGACCAATTCTTTACAGACCAATTAGTTTATTATCGTGTCTGTGTAAGTTGTTCGAAAAATGCATTCTAACTCGCGTAATACCATATCTAGGAGCACACAATGTTATCCCTGTTCATCAATTTGCTTTCGTCAAGACCATGGAACAATCGAACAAGTAAACAGAATAACATCAGTAATTCGCACAGCATTTGAGCATCGGGAATACTGTAGCGCAATATTCCTCGATGTATCTCAAGCCTTTGATCGAGTATGGCTAGATGGCCTCATGCACAAAATCAAAACACACTTGCCTGATTACACTCACAAGCTTCTTGAGTCTTATCTATACAACAGAACCTTCGCAGTAAGGTGCAATACAACAACATCCGACGACTACATTATCAAAGCTGGAGTCCCGCAAGGAAGCGCCCTAGGGCCTACTCTGTTCCTCCTATACACAGCAGATATTCCCACGAACGAGCAGCTAACAACATCTACGTTCGCTGACGACACAATTTTAAGTCGCTCGAGGTGCTAATCAGAGCCACAACACAGCTAGCAAACCACCTCTCCGTAGTATAGAGGTGGCTATCTGATTGGCGGATTAAAATAAATGAACAAAAATGTAAACACATAATGTTTACACTACACAGGCAAACATGCCCTCCACTGTCATTGAATAATACGCAGGTTCCCCAAGTCAACGATGTAATGTATCTCGCGTCCACCTTTACAGACGACTAACCTGGAGAAGACACATCGAACGCAAGAAAGTACATCTAAAACTAAAAGCCAGCAGCCTCCTCTGGATTCTTAACGCTCGTTCGCCCCTGCGTCTGGCCCATCTGGACATATGGCTCCCAGCTATGGGGGAACGCCAGCAGCAGCAACATAGACATTATACAGCGTGTTCAATCGAGAATCCTGCGAACTATCACTGGGGCACCATTGTATATTCGCAACCAAAACATCCACAGGGACCTAGGCATTCTTACCGTAAAAGATGAAATAGACGAACAAAAAGCGTCCTACAATGAACAACCTTCTGTTCACCCCAATCGGCTCGCAAGAGGTTTGACTTGGGTTTCCAGCCGATCACGTCTAGAACGCAACGACCTGCCAAGCCAGCAATAACTTTCGGGCCCCCTTTAGCACAATATCAGTCATATGAATGTTAGTTAGATTAATTAGTTTAAGATTTGATACACTTATTGTTAGTATCCAAAGGGAGAAGATTCAATAAATATATAGCAAAACATTAAAAACAAGGAAGAACGCTATAGTCGAGTACCTGGACTATCAGGTACCCGTTACTCAAAGGGAAATGGAGATATGCAAGCAGCAAAGCGAGATTAAAATGCGCCACCTACCGGCGGTAGACAGATTTAAGCGTTATGGGCGTTAGAGTGGGCGTGGCAAATTTATTTTTGGATCAGTCGATAGGTATTGACGACACAAATACATTTCAGTTAAAATTTTTTATCTAGCATGCAAATTGTGGGCGTCCCAGGTTTTCGCGGTTTGTGGGTGTTAAAATGGGCGTGGCAAACATTTTTTTGGGTCAATCGATTGGTATTGATGAGAACAATACATATCAATTACAATTTTTATTCTAGCATCAAAACTGTAGGAGCCACAGTTTTGGGCGGTTAGAGTGGGCGTGGCACTCTACTGAAACAAACTTGCGCTGCGCAGGAATCTCAGGAATCTGCGTGCCTAATCCCAGTATTGTAACTCATAGTTTCCGAGATCTCAGCGTTCATACGGACAGACGGACAGACGGACATGGCTAGATCGACTCGGCTAGTGATCCTGATCAAGAATATATATACTTTATGGGGTCGGAAACGCTTCCTTCTGCCTGTTACATACTTTCCGACGAATCTAGTATACCCTTTTACTCTACGAGTAACGGGTATAAAAAATATATATATATTCGAATTTTGCAGCTTTAAAAGGTTTCAAAATACACTGTTGGAACAGAAATCTTTTAGCTTAAGAATTTCAGGAGAAGATAATTTTTTTTTGTAATATTCGATGATAATAATCGTTATAATTTTTTAGGTTTTATCGAGTTCTTGATGTTTCTCGAAATCGTGTTATACAAAGAAACTACAGTGTAGATAATATTTACACTCCCAGCTTTCGGAGAAGTCTGTTTACGATCGGAATACTAATGCGCTACTTTGACTTTAAGTCTCCTATTGCATTGGGTAAGTTATTTTCATTAAATTGCGAAAATTTCATTTGTCCTTTTTTTAGGGGAGACAAATGGTGGACTTCCTCTCTCGATATGTGATGATGTATTCGATTGTTTGATTTTCTTCTCCACTTGCGCCAACCAAGAAATTAGAAAGCAAGCACTTATTTCGCTTGGATCCTTCTGTGTTTTAAACGATGACTATCTTACTAGATCCGAGCTAAAAAGTTTGTATTGTGATATACTAAGTTCAGTCGCAAACGATGCTGGTTTTAAAATAATCTGCATGCGTAATATTTGGATTTATTTAACGGAATCTGAAATGTTTATGCATAATAAGGAAAAAGAATGTAAGTATGTTTTACACAGACGGTTATTAATCCTTTCGATCCCAGGTTGCTTCTGAGCAAATTGATCAATTTAACAGCTAACGCTCGACGCTTCTGAGGGCGTATTTGTAGATCACCTTGCCATGTTATTCACGAAATAATGGATCTGCCTTGTTGAAATAGTAGATACCAAATTTACATTATAACTTTCTTATGATCCTGTCACCAGTTATCATGTCCACCGGATGGGTACGAACGCTGAGATCTCGGAAACTATAAAAGCTACAAAAGTTAGGATTAAGGATTCAGATTCTAGAGGTTCTTGCGCAAATTTAACGCTAAAACTTAAAAAAAAATGTGGGTGCGACCGCACTATAGGCGTTTCCCAGCGTTCATACGGACAGACGGACGGACGAACGGTCGGACGGACGGATGGACGGACGGACGGACGGACGGACGGATGGACGGACGGGCGAACGGACGGAAGAACGGACTGACGGAATGACGGACGGACGGACGGACGGACGGAAGGACGGAAGGACGGAAGGACGGAAGGACGGAAGGACGGACGGACGGACGGAAGGACGGAAGGACGGAAGGACGGACGGACAGAAGGACGGACGGACGGAAGGACGGACGGACGGAAGGACGGACGGACGGAAGAACGGACGGAAGGACGGACGGACGGAAGGACGGACGGAAGGACAGACGGACGGACGGACGGACGGACGGAAGGACGGACGGACGGACGGACAGACGGACGGAAGGACGGACGGACGGACGGACGGACGGACGGACGGACGGACGGACGGACGGACGGACGGAAGGACGGACGGACGGACGGACGGACGGACGGACGGACGGACGGACGGACGGACGGACGGACGGACGGACGGAAGGACAGGCAGGCAGGCAGGCAGGCAGGCAGGCAGACAGACCAGACAGACCAGACAGGACCAGACAGACCAGACAGACCAGACAGACCAGACAGACCAGACAGACCAGACAGACCAGACAGACCAGACAGACCAGACAGACCAGACAGACCAGACAGACCAGACAGACCAGACAGACCAGACAGACCAGACAGACCAGACAGACCAGACAGACCAGACAGACCAGACAGACCAGACAGACCAGACAGACCAGACAGACCCAGACAGACCAGACAGACCAGACAGACCAGACAGACCAGACAGACCAGACAGACCAGACAGACCAGACAGACCAGACAGACCAGACAGACCAGACAGACCAGACAGACCAGACAGACCAGACAGACCCAGACCAGACCCAGACAGACCAGACAGACCAGACAGACCAGACAGACCAGACAGACCAGACAGACCAGACAGACCAGACAGACCAGACAGAACCAGACAGACCAGACAGACCAGACAACAGACCAGACAGACCAGACAGACCAGACAGACCAGACAGACCAGACAGACCAGACAGACCAGACAGACCAGACAGACCAGAAGACAGACAAAACCAGACAGACCAGACAGACCAGACAGACCAGACAGACCAGACAGACCAGACAGAACCAGACAGACCAGACAGACCAGACAGACCAGACAGACCAGACAGACCAGACAGACCAGACAGACCAGAACAGACCAGACAGACCAGACAGACCAGACAGACCAGACAGACCAGACAGACCAGACAGACCAGACAGACCAGACAGACCAGACAGACCAGACAGACCAGACCAGACCAGACAGACCAGACAGACCAGACAGACCAGACAGACCAGACAGACCAGACCAGACAGACCAGACAGACAGACCAGACAGACCAGACAGACCAGACAGACCAGACAGACCAGACAGACCAGACAGACCAGACAGACCAGACAGACCAGACAGACCAGACAGACCAGACAGACCAGGACAGGACCAGACAGACCAGACAGACCAGACAGACCAGACAGACCAGACAGACCAGACAGACCAGACAGACCAGACAGACCAGACAGACCAGACAGACCAGACAGACCAGACAGACCAGACAGACCAGACAGACCAGACAGACCAGACAGACCAGGACAGAACCAGACAGACCAGACAGACCAGACAGACCAGACAGACCAGACAGACCAGACAGACCAGACAGACCAGACAGACCAGACAGACCCAGACAGACCAGACAGACCAGACAGACCAGACAGACCAGACAGACCAGACAGACCAGACAGACCAGACAGACCAGACAGACCAGACAGACCAGACCAGACCCAGGACAGACCCAGGAGCAGACCAGACAGACCAGGACCCAAGACCAGGACCAGACCAGACAGACCCAGACAGACCCCCACCCCAGACCAGACCAGACCAGACCCAAGACAGACCAGACAGGACCAGACAGACCAAGACCCAAGACCAGACAAAAAAAAAAAAAAAAAAAAAAAAACAGACCCAGACAGACAGAAGGACCAGACCAGACAAACAGGACAGAAAAACCAGACAGAAACAGACCAGACAGACCAGACCAGAACAGACAGACCCAGGACCAGACAGGACCCAGACCAGACAGACCAGGACAGACAGACCCAGACAGAGACAGACCCAGAAGACAGACCAGACAGACAGACCAGACAGACAGACCAGACAGACAGACCAGACAGACAGACCAGACAGACAGACCAGACAGACAGACCAGACAGACAGACCAGACAGACAACCAGACAGACAGACCAGACAGACAGACCAGACAGACCAGACCAGACAGACAGACCAGACAGACAGACCAGACAGACAGACCAGACAGACAGACCAGACAGACCAGACCAGACAGACCAGACAGACAGACCAGACAGACAGACCAGACAGACAGACCAGACAGACAGACCAGACAGACAGACCAGACAGACAGACCAGACAGACAGACAGACAGACCAGACAGACAGACCAGACCAGACAGACCAGACAGACCAGACAGACAGACCAGACAGACAGACCAGACAGACAGACAGACAGACAGACCAGACAGACCAGACAGACCAGACAGACCAGACAGACCAGACAGACCAGACAGACCAGACAGACCAGACCAGACAGACCAGACAGACCAGACAGACCAGACCAGACAGACAGACAGACCAGACAGACCAGACAGACCAGACAGACCAGACAGACCAGACAGACCAGACAGACCAGACAGACCAGACAGACCAGACCAGACAGACCAGACAGACCAGACCAGACCAGACAGACCAGACAGACAGACCAGACAGACAGACCAGACAGACAGACCAGACAGACAGGACCAGACAGACAGACCAGACAGACAGACCCAGACAGACAGACCAGACAGACAGACCAGACAGACAGACCAGACAGACAGACCAGACAGAAGACCAGACAGACAGACCAGACAGACAGACCAGACAGACAGACAGACAGACAGACCAGACAGACAGACCAGACAGACAGACCAGACAGACAGACCAGACAGACAGACCAGACAGACAGACCAGACAGACAGACCAGACAGACAGACCAGACAGACAGACCAGACAGACAGACCAGACAGACAGACCAGACAGACAGACCAGACAGACAGACCAGACAGACAGACCAGACAGACAGACCAGACAGACAGACCAGACAGACAGACCAGACAGACAGACCAGACAGACAGACAGACAGGGACAGACCAGACAGACAGACAGACCAGACAGACAGACCAGACAGACACAGACAGACAGACCAGACAGGACCAGACCAGACAGACAGACCAGACAGACAGACCAGACAGACAGGACCAGACAGACAGACCAGACAGACAGGAGACCAGACAGGACAGACCAGACAGACAGACCAGACAGACAGACCAGACAGACAGACCAGACAGACAGACCAGACAGACAAGACCAGACAGACAGACCCAGACCAGACAACAGACCCAGACAGACCAGACAGACAGACCAGACAGACAGACCAGACAGACCAGACAGACAGACCAGACCAGACCAGACAGACAGACCAGACAGACAGACCAGACAGGACAGACCAGACAGACAGACCAGACCAGACAGGACCAGACAGACAAGACCAGACCAGACAGACAGACCAGACAGACAACCAGACAGACAGACCAGACAGACAGACCAGACAGACAGACCAGACAGACAGACCAGACAGACAGACCAGACAGACAGGACAGACAGACCAAAGACAGACCAGACAACAGACCAGACAGACAGACCCCAGACAGACAGACCAGACAGACAGACCAGACAGACAGACCAGACAGACAGACCAGACAGACAACCAGACAGACAGACAGACAGACAGACCAGACAGACCAGCAGAAGACCAGACAGACCAGAAGACCCAGACAGACCAGAAAGACCAGACAGACCAGAAACCAGACGACCAGAAACCAGACAGACCAGAAGACCAGACCAGACCAGAAGACCAGACAGACCAGAAGACCAGACAGACCAGAAGACCAGACAGACCAGAAGACCAGACAGACCAGAAGACCAGACAGACCAGAAGACCCAGACCAGAAACCCAGACAGACCAAGAAAGACCAGACAGACCAGAAGACCAGACAGACCAGAAGACCAGACAGACCAGAAGGACCAGACAACCAGAAGACCAGACAGACCAGAAGACCAGACAGACCAAGAAACAGACAGACCAGACAGACCACAGACAGACCAGACAGACCAGACCAGACAGACAGACCAGACAGACAGACCAGACAGACAGACCAGACAGACAGACCAGACAGACAGACCAGACAGACAGACCAGACAGACAGACAGACCAGACAGACCAGACAGACCAGACAGACCAGACAGACCAGACAGACCAGACAGACCAGACAGACCAGACAGACAGACCAGACAGACAGACCAGACAGACAGACCAGACAGACCCAGACAGACCAGACAGACCAGACAGACCCAGACCCAGACAGACCAGACAGGACAGACCAGACAGACAGACCAGACAGACAGGACCAGACAGACCAGACCAGACAGACCAGACAGACAGACCAGACAGACAGACCAGACAGACAGACCAGACAGACAGACCAGACAGACAGACCAGACAGACCAGACAGACAGACC